TTTTTTTTTCGCCACAGTTACAGAAACACTCGCTTGCGATAAAAGTGAAAAAGCGTTACATTTTTCGATATTGAGTGTATAGCAAGGTTACAGAAACGCAGTACTGATGTGCATATCTGTGAACTTTTAACAAAACAAGTTCTCTCGAGTGAGGTCATTTTCTCTTCAAAGAAGTAATTCACTGAGTTCTGGAGTGATATTTTTATGTTTAGCCATTAATAGGAGTAGTTCAAGATGCTATCTTAATAAAAGTTAAATAAAAACAAGTAAGAAAGTCTAAGTTCGGGCGGAGCCGAACATTAAATACCCGGCGCAAGTATTAAATATATGTTTTTCACCTTTCCGAAAGCTACCGCTACATGGTAAGTCGGGGTGTATAAATTTTAAGTAAGTTGGCCTCCTTAAATTTCGAAATATTGAAGTTTCAAGCATATATGAAATTTACCGTTATATGAAAAGCGACCGTAATTTTAGTCCGATTTCAATAATTTTCAACGTTTTGCTTTTATGTGGCAAGCACAATAACCGTTTGGTACAAATTGGTAGAACGGTTACCGAGATACACATATGTGATCATAAGTGGGCGGTGCCACGCCCATTTGCTGGTAAAGAATTGCTGCAAGCATCAATTTTGAATAAATTAGCTTTAATATTTACTGTTTTATTGAAGATTTTGTATTTCTCTAAATTAACGTTATATGGGATGTGGGCTTGGTTATTGTCCGATTTTTTAAATTTTCGGCCATTTGGTATGCTGGCCAACAACTGTGCCAAGTTTGGAAGAAATTGGTGCAGCGGTTACCAAGGGCGTGGCTACGCCCATTTTTCAAAATTTTATATTTTTATATTTTTATTATAATAATCTTATTTTTAGTTTAAAATTTATTGTAAATATCAATTTTGAGTGAATAATCTTCAGTAGTTACTAAAATATCGCAGTTTTCGTATTTCGGAAAATTACCGTTATATGGGAAGTGGGCGTGGTTACACCCCGATTTCGGCCATTTTCAATACCTTGGATAAATTGAAACTTACATACCAAATTTCGTAGAGATATCTCAATTTTTGCTCTAGTACACGGAAGGACGGACAGACGAAAGGACAGACAGACATGGCTTAATCTCTCTATTCATTCTGAGCATTTATGTATACATTTGTCTATCTCGATTCGTTTTGGCTGTTACAAACAACCGTTATGTGAACAAAGTTAATATACCCTTGTGCACAAGTGCGCTCGGGTATAATTAAAAATTTTTAAATGTAAGTTCCTTATAATTTACTCTAAATTCGAACCTACACACACAGAGGTTGTTTTGTCAAAAGTCCACAGATATGTGCATATGCATATGCAAAGTCATAACCACACATACATATGTAAGTACAATAAAAGCATATTTATGGAGATGATGGCTCTAAAGGCCAGTATGCAGCTCTTAAGAAAAGCAAAAACTCCATATAAAATGACGTACAAGAAATGGCGAAGAAATTTGTTTGTGTTAAATTTCCTTGAGGAAGTACGCTGTTCTTAAGAAATTTGCTACGCTTTCTACTACGGGTTTCCAAAGTTTTTTGTGAAAAAAGAGCACAAGGCAACCCATATTTGCAACAGAAATATATGCCCGTTCCATTATTTCTTGAGGAAAGAGTGAGGCAACAGTATCAGCTGGCAAAGTTTCTTGGACACACACACGAAATAATGGCAATTTTTTCTTTACCGTTTTCTTAGGAGCTGCATACTGGCCTTAAAATATGAAACGTGACAGTTGTACAGCTTTGTTTACTTTTCCAATTTGCTGCTGGTTGCTTTTACGTTAAGGCTAGCACTTTCATTCTTCAGCTTTTGTGGTTTTACGATTTTTATTGGTCTTATTAACTAGTTGCGGTCTGATACAAGGTTAAATGTCAGGAAATTAGCGTGGGAATTAACTGGTGGATTGCCATTAATGCTGGTTCAATCCTAATCCATTCATTCTGAAATATACTAGCCATAAATGCGATTGCTTTATAAAAAAGAGAACCATTTTGAAATATGAGTGTTTTTACTATCTAGAAATTGATTTATGCAGCCTCACATACGCGGTTTTGCATTATCTTGATACGCGGTTTTGCATTTTGTTGATACGCAGTTTTGTACTTTACACGCCGATATGTATGTATGTATGTACATATGTATCAGTGTTTATGTACTTACCAGGAAAGGGAATGAAAGTATGTACTTTTGCACCAATTTATTTTTTATAAATTTACCTGGAATTAAAAAGAAAATATACAAATTAATTATTGACCAATCTTCTTTTTTTAAGGAGTAACATCACTGTAACTATTCAATAAGAAGCGTGTTTTTACATTTTTTTACATGGAAAGGATGGAAATAGATGAAGGAATTATAGGTATGTTTTGAGTAGTATGCATCAAAGTATTAAAAACTATTCAATGAAAACATTTTCAAAATTTTGTTCCTGTAGCCCTTCTCCTAAAACGTGTTGAACTTCAAGTAAAATGTGGCACGCAGCATAAGTGCTGAAAATTTTAACCTAATTAGAAAAAAAGGCATTAGTATAGGTTTTGAAAGTGCAGAGTGTAAAATGCATATGTATCGAAAGTTTCAGATATCAAAAACAAGTTTTTATGAAAACTGCAGACGTATTGATATAATAAGCAAGGTGTCAAAAATTGTGTTATTGCAAAAATTTAATGCAGATTCCGATTGAAGATAACTTTCCAGCAAAAATTTTTGTTCAAAAATATTTTTGTTTAAGACGACAAACCGGCAGAATATCCCTTCGTTAACAACATTTGTTCAACTTATTTTTAGAATCAAAGAATCTTCTAGAAATGGGCGTGGTAATTTTAGGACCCAAGTTAAAAAATTAGATTTATTTGTGAATTTGTTCTGCAGGTTTGTGTTTGTTAGAGAAGAAAGTGTCATTTTGAAGTTATTGCAAAAGTGTATTCAAACAAATTTTTTTCTAAAAGCTACAGTATATGAAGATAGGATCGTCATAGATTAAGTAACGTTGAAGAAGCGCTGCAGTAAATGACTATTTTCGAAATGGACTGTATAAATTTTGTAGCTTTGCCGGAAGTTCGTCTTAGTAAGTTTTGTAGACCTTGAGGTTTTTTTTAAGTTTATTTCCGGACTAATTTGATATACACATGTTTAGGGGTCGGCAACGTGTTCCGGAAGTGGCCAAAAACCATTTTTTTGTATGGAGATTTTTTAACTGTGCTCTATATTATCCATGAAGAAAATCACACATTTAGTGAGAAAAGAGTTTTAGAAATAAAAAAACGAAGTATGAATTTCGGGATCTTAAATTGGTAATCCCGGGATCCCTGGATGTTTCGGTATATTATTTTCATTAATTAAATATGCTAACAAACTAGTTTTGTAGTCTTGCTTTAGTGCGAATACTAGAAATAAAAATTAATTTGTGTTTTTAGGTAAAAAATTTCTTTATTTTATATCAGCTTAAAAAGCTTATTACAAACTGAATAAACTAAAAATTATGGAATTGAAATTCATTCACATTGCAGTCGCAGTCATTTTTACGAAAGTAAAAAATAAGAGATAATCTTTACACTTACATATAGTATTGATACATATACACATATGTGTAGTAATATTAGTATGACGCAACATATATATACACATGCATATAAAAGTCGGACGGATTTCGTAAAAAAATGATGTCATGTCTCCGATTCGCTTCAAAATTTTAATGGGTTCTATACATGAAATAAGCTAACACGTATTCGAGGAAGTTTTTTTCTTTCTTTCTTCGGAGATATGATCTGTCAAAGTTCGAATTTTTTCGTGGTTCTGATCAGGGACGTGAACCGGATGAAAAATTTTGTCGTTCGGTTCAGCGGTTCGAACCGTTTTTGCACTTTTCGATTGGTTCGTCAAAGCGGTTTTTTGGTCTTTGAACCGGGGTTTCGGTTCGGTTCAACGGTTCGAAAAACAAACAAGTAATAAAGTCTAAGTTCGGGCGGAACCGAACATTAAATCACCGTCGCAAGTATTAAATATATGATTTTCACCTTTCCGAAAGCCACCGCAACATAGTATCCCGGGGTGTATAAATTTTGAGTAGTTT